ATATGCGCAGCAGCAAGAAGGTTTCGGTCATCCCTTGAGGGTGAGTCTAGCCCTGCTCGCCAGAAAGACCCCCCCCTTCACTACAACCCATGTCTAAGCAAAAGCTTGTCGAGGAGCGAGGGGAAGAAGGGAGAGTAGTACTGGGGTATAAACGCGCCGCGTGGGCCGTGGGCTTCAACGAGGGGGCTCCACTGATCGTAGTTGGAAGGGCGGGGTATGTACATAATGTTGCTAAAGTGGTAGTTTTCCTGGACCCGCCCACAGGCCACTTGATAAATTTCTCTCTAGGGCCTGGTTATTTACCCAACAAAATATACACCATTCGAAAGCTATGAACCAGGGCTTTCGAATGAACCCATTTTTAGCTTTCACAGACACCTTGGTGGCGAGTTATGCCGAATATGCCGTTTCACCAAAACGCGGCGGAACCGGTAAATTACGAGTTGTCGTTAGGCCTGTCCTCCATCGGCCGTTTTATTTTCGATTTAGATACACAAACTTTACTTCTATACTAATTTCAAGTAATTCCAACTTCTTATTCTCCGTCACACAAGCAAAACGGCCGATGGAGGACAGGCCTAGTTGTCGTGCCCCCACCACCGCTGTGAAAAAAAGTATACTCTATATTTTAAGGAATCCTTGAAACAAACTGGTTCTAAATCACCTGGTTCAGAACTCTTTTTTGCCAGGCCCTAGATACAACACAGACAGAGACAGAAATAAACCAAGTTTCAAATTTCAAAAAAATCGCGGCCGAACCACCGCTTGGGCCGCGTCGCACACAGCCGCCGGTAGGTGTACACATGTTGTTGTGAAGACCGGCAACCAAATGGAACTCGACCAAGAGAGGGTCTCCTGCCTGCAGCAGTTGGTTCCCGACGGATACACGCTGCGCGACAAGCTCAGCATCGAGAGACAGAAGCCACGAAAGTATCGGTTAGTGCTGCACTCAAGGTCGCGAGCCAACAATTTCAGGCCCAATACCCCATCTCAACTTCATCGACTTAAACCCATGTCTCTCAGCCTTGAAACAAACTGGTTTTAAATCACCTGGTTCAGAACTCGTTTTTGCCAGGCCCTAGACAGAAAAAAACCAAGTTTCAAATTTCAAAAAAATCGCGGCCGAACCACCGCTTGGGCCGCGTCGCACACAGCCGCCGGTAGGTGTACACATGTTGTTGTGAAGACCGGCAACCAAATGGAACTCGACCAAGAGAGGGTCTCCTGCCTGCAGCAGTTGGTTCCCGACGGATACACGCTGCGCGACAAGCTCAGCATCGAGAGACAGAAGCCACGAAAGTATCGGTTAGTGCTGCACTCAAGGTCGCGAGCCAAACAATACTGAATTGAAATGGCGGAGCCGCTGGATCACGTCTGGGAAGCCACGCGGCCGCGACGCCGTCGCGGAGGGAATCATCATAGACGAGGTGACTGCTGCTGACTGGGATGCCGTTCAACTCAAGAACTCAGCGTACGCCCCGGTGCAGAGAGCACCACCGCGGGATTCAACAGCACCCGCAGTTCGAGCCGCAGCGCCAGCCGTTGGTTCACTACAAGAACCCGGTCTCGCAGGCGCGCAAAGATCGCGAGATCCAAATTGGGGTGGACAACGGGACTACAGTGGGCGGCCCTTTGGAAAGTTGGGGAGGGCGGCCCGGCGGATGCGTGCGTTGACACTTCGGCAGGAACTAGAGGAGGCCGTTACTGGGTCATTCAACCTCTCTGCAAGCAGTCTGTCTGGAAGAAGTCGTGCGGGCGTGGATAGAGTTCGAACCCGAGTGGGCCGAAGAGGCGAAGAGGAAATAATACCTGAACAAGGGCACGTACAGCACATCTCAAGCTGCAAACAAGATTAGGCGTGCGAAAGGGGCGGAGATGAAAGCTCGGGTGCTGGCGGCAGCGGCGGACGAGTTTCGCGCTGAGAGCAAGCCAGAGTGCAGAGTAAGAAAACCTACCCTGACGGGAGGCGGGCCATGCTTCTCTACCAGGACGAGAGCATAATTCGAGGTTACTTTTAAACGGAGCAAAGCGGGTTCGATAATTTAGGTGTAAATTCCGGGCGCGAACAGTAATCTTGCTCGCAATTCAATTGTGGGACTTTAAATTTAATCACACATGTTGACAGCGCCACATCTGCCGCCCCTAAATTGTCGGTTTCTTGTTTGTATTTGCAGCCAACGACGACCAGAGGCGCGCGTGGTATCGGGACGGCCAGCATGTGCCCGTGAAGAAGTCACAAGGCCAGGGGATCATGGTGTCGGGGACGATAATCCACAACGTTGGCTTCTTCTCGGCGTCGCGGGCACAGATCCAGGACGCGGAGCGCAACCGCAGGAAACGATGCGCCGCCTCAGCTGCCGCGAAGCGACGGGGGGAAAACGTGAAGGTGGAGAAGTTCCGCCCCATCGACATGCTTCATGAAGACGAGCATGGACAGTACTGGTCCTACCACCTCTTCGAGTACGGAAAGAACAAGGAGGGATACTGGAGGAGCGGGCTCAGGATGCTGGACCACATGTCAGACGTGCTCGACATGTTCACAGTTCTCTACCCTGAGCACAAGCCTGGAGGCCTGTTCGACTTGTCGTCCTGTCATGACTGCATGGAGGTCGGCGCACCGTCGGTGAAGAGAATGAACTTGGGTGTCGGTGGTGTGAGGAACGGAGAAGAGCTTGCGCCGATGGACCCCGTGACCATCCTCGAAGATACCCCGAACCTCCCAGCCGGCACGGTACAGCACTTGGTGTTTCGGAGGGGGGACGATCCCCCCTTCCACTCCCCGCATCTCAAGCCGGCGCAATATGTCGGAAAGTTGAAAGGAATGCGGCAGATTTTGTGGGAGAGGGGGCTCCTGGTCAAAGGCATGAGTAAGACGGGGGGCTCGGGCGAAAAGCAGGACCTCAGCAAGAGCATGGAGCACGTTTTGGGAGAGCAGAAGGACTTCAAGGAAGTTGATTCTAGTCTGGTGCTGTTGATGCAGCGCCACGGGGGGGCCTGTCTCATGCTTCCTAAGTACCACTGCGAGTGTAACCCCATCGAGCTTGTTTGGGGCCGAGCGAAGGACTGGACTCGAAAGAACTGCAAATATTCGTTGGAATGCTTGCGCAAGAACGTGCCGCTGAGTTTTAGACCAGAGAAGGATAGACAGGCTGTTTCGGTAGTCCAGGGCTACTGCAAGAAGGCGTACACACACGCCCTCATGTACCGCGAGACGCGTGTGCAAGGGCCTGAGGGCAAGAAGACGTACAAGAAGTACAAGTCGCACAGGCGCCCGACCCCGAAGGAATGGAGGCCGTAGAGTCGATGGCGCATTCTTGTTCATTGAGCTGTATTTGTTCAGTTTTTTTCCGTGTGTCTGGTGGGAATGTTGTACAAAAATGGAGCATTTTTGTTGAAAACGACCAATTTTTGTGATGTATGTACGCTATAGGTGCGGCAGAGGCATTTGCATAGTGTTTGAGGGCGTTCCTGTGCACGTATGGGTGGTTTGGTATGAAAAAAAAAAAAGGATTAGCAACATATATCGGGGAAAAGTTGCTCTAGGGCCAATTTCGTGGGTTCGAGACCCGCCGCGAGCATCTTTTTTTCTTTTTTTTCTCTTTTTTTCCTTTTTCTTGTGGCGACTCGCTACTCTTTTGCACCTTGCCGCGGGCGTTCCGAAGCTGTTTTTCTTTTTCTTTTACTCGCTCNTATGAAAAAAAAAAAAGGATTAGCAACATATATCGGGGAAAAGTTGCTCTAGGGCCAATTTCGTGGGTTCGAGACCCGCCGCGAGCATCTTTTTTTCTTTTTTTTCTCTTTTTTTCCTTTTTCTTGTGGCGACTCGCTACTCTTTTGCACCTTGCCGCGGGCGTTCCGAAGCTGTTTTTCTTTTTCTTTTACTCGCTCTCAGTCAAAAGTTATGGAGGGACAACCAAAATCTGGTCCTTGAAAATTACCACTTTTGCAACCCTACATGCATTTGTAAGTTCCGCGGGTTGTAAAAAACATTTTTCACAAACCTCGTAGCACTCGATTGCTTTCACGCGCGCATAAGATTCCTGAGAGGGGTAACTTCACTCGATCGAGTTGTTCCCTCTGTCAAAATCGCTCTGGCCCTTGTTCAGTACCCCTGCTTCCATATCATTTGCATGAAGAGATTAATTACCGTCGTATCCCCAGAATACAACTTGCACAAGTACAAGACCCGAGAAGAACTACAGGCGGATGAAACACACACAAATCAAGACACACACGCGGACACAGAGGCCAAGCAGCGTCAACATATATACGTCAACAGAACATGCCACGGCGAACCGCTCGAAAATGCTTAATCTTTAGCGAAATCAGATGTCCTGACAAAAAATTATTATTTCTCGGGGAGTTGTAGCTCCCACCGTGGCGTGTCAAACTGTTGTGAACAATCCCTATAACTACCGTTCGTTCAGATCCTTTGATGCACACCATATTTATTAAGGTGGGAATCACAACCACGCACCCTGGTCGAACTGCTTGCTTGTTCTAAAGTTTGCCGTAGGTTGGAGCTTTCTTTAAAGATGGGCATATTGAACAAGAATGTGCCTCATGGACATACACACACATAAATACATATACAATACATAGAGTGCATACGATATGCCTGCGATGTGGCAATACAACCACAACAGCGGCGGAAAACGACCAGCAACCTGTAAATAAACTGGTACAATCGGGCATCAGGCAAGCCTCTGTGCAGAAACAAGCCTCTCGAGAGCCGGTTCCTCCATGGATAATAAATCGACTTCTCACCGTTCCTCCCCCCGTCTCGCAAGACGAAGGCCGAAACTCAACGCACGTACACATAGCTAGCTGAGCTCCACTCGGCATTCTACACATTTTTTCAATGCTTGAGGAGAAAGCTGCGCTCTGCAGTCGTCGGCCGTAGACCGGGCGTTCGGCTTGTATTTATTGTAAGTGGTGGATTGGCGACAACCGATGGTGTCGGACACCGTGCGCGTCAAATACTCAAGAGGCACCGCCAAAAACGATGACTTTGTCAGCAAGATCTCATCCAAGCACTCGAAAATTTGTCGATTATCGTGGCTTCATGAAATCTGTTCTAACACATCGACCCCCTAGGCATATATATTCAGGTGGTTACCACCGTCATATATTAACAACGAATGAAGACAACAAGCGTCGGGAAACATCGTAACTTCCAAATTTACCACCGCAAAGCCATCGCCGCTACTTTGCAAGTACCACCAATCGTTAAAATCCGATTTCATCACCCCATCTCAAGCAGCGCCGCTCTACACTAGCTCTGTACAGTGCCAAGCATAGGAACTCAATTTCCAGAACACTGTGGAAGATTCCTGGCGGCCAAGTCATATCGAAAAGGCCGCACCTGGTTCTGGTGAGTGCCGACGCCGATAGAACAACTCAGACGTGTTGTTGACGCCACCCCTGAGCAAGGCGTGTGTCCCAGGTGTTGATTTTATTTCGGAGATATAGCGACCGCTCGCACTCCCATGAGCGATTGAAATTCTTGGCGTCTGTCAGCTAACACCCTCTCAACCTTCTCCTTCATGTCCGTCGCAAATCGCATGTTTTCTGCTGATACCCTTGCTCGACGAAGCTGCAGCTCTGTACGTGCGTCTTCCAGAATCTGTCAAGTCCAGAGAAATGTGTTGTATGTCCAATAATTGTAGGCGTTCCTTCAATCTTGCCGGTCCGGAAGTATCGCATAATGCCAATCTAGAGTCTAGGGACAGGTTGGGGTAGTTGAAAACTGCAGCGTGATGTACACAAGCAAGCAGCAGCGCGTGAAGATGGCAAGCAAAGGGAAGCAAACTCCCCGTCAAAAGCAACCCTTGATCGCTCAATCATCAGTGCTTGAAGCTTCCGTAGATATACCTTGCCTTACCTTGGTTATGTCTTCCTCCAACGCGTTGGAGCGGCTGTGTGCTGCAGCCGTCTTCCGCTCGACTAGCTTCCGCGTAGCAGCCAGAAGAAGCTTCTTGTGCTTCATAATCAAAAGAAAAGCAACAACATCGTTCAGCTCGAGAAAGATAGTCACACACACCAAGCAATTATGACGCATGTGTTTCGTAGCAACCTAAACGATGTTGGGCTGCAGCTGAAGGACGGCTACAGATGGGAAGGACGACAGGGACAGGCGTACTTTGCAAGGGGTTGCAAAAAATTGTGCTGGTGTGTATCCCGCCTACAATACGCGGCACGCTTTTTCTTCGTGCACATAATGAGATTGGAGGTACCTCTGGTATCCATTTTTCCAGAATGTTCATTGCGGCAACATGAACCTGATGAGCGCTTGAATCTCAAAGGGCTACGTAGGAGCTCCTCATACAAACAGCAAAGTTCATCGAAGGCAATCAGTACAGCAGTCACCTGCTCGAAAGACGTTGTCGACTCCTCCATCACACGAGCACGCGCTTTCTGGAGACGGACAATCGCATCCAGCCTGGCATCCGTTTCATGACGATCGGTGCGGTCGGGGCCCTTGCGGTTGGCCTCCTCGGAAGCCCGTTCACTGTCGGAGATACCGCGTCCTGTGGAAGTGTGGCGAGCCTTTAGCCCGGCGATGGCCTCCTCCATTTGGTCTGCCAAGTTCCTCTTGTCGTCATCGCCGTGTAAGCCGTTTTCGGTACAAAAGCGTGATGCTTGCTGTAGTTGCTGCAGTTCCATTGACGCAACGAAACGTGATTTTTTTCAGCGAACACGACAGCAGGCTGTGCATGAAACCGCAGCGGGAGTGGAACACAGCCATTCTCAGTGCTATGGATACTGAACGAAACATCTCCAATGAATGTGCGGGGTAGGGTTCTTGAGGTTGAACTCGCGCAGACCTCAACCGAGGTGTTTTTTCCTTGGTCCGTATGTAATGATGGTCGCCTTGGCTCCGCATACAATTGTGGTGTGCGAGTCCTGCGCACTGCAGATCGCCTTCCACATTAAACTGCTCGGTATCGTGTATTCCTATGCATACCTGTGCCGTATTTTCTGTTGGACAGAAGTGAAATGGAACATTGTGCGATTGGCCGTCCGAGTGCACGGTAACGTGGAGGGTCACCACGCCACCGTTATCGTCCTCTCTCTCGTCTTCGAGGGGCAGCTGACTATCCTCTATCGTCCCCTTACATTCTTCTACCCCGGCAGCTCGCGAAGACCGCACTAGTGGCACCTCGTCCAGGGCCTACCGCACGGGGTTGGGCAGATCCAGGAGCTAATTGCGGTGGCTGTTTGACGCTGAAAGAGGCATCACCACCACCATACGTCGACACTAACATTACGACTCTTACAGTAGATGAAGCGCAAGTATCTATTCCGAGAGCAAACTCCCAACATCAATCCAACTGCTGCTGGCAAATGTTCGAAGGATGGTCAGGTAAATCAAAGAAACAATCTAAGCGCCACAAGCTGTCTACCTTTGTACACCATGTTCAGACTACCGCACATGTATGTAGACCCTGGACGCAGACAACGACCAAGCCCGAGTCAGGTGCTTCCATATTCCCATGTTACAGAAACGAATGTAAGTTTGAATCACGTGTGATCTTGGACTCACCATGAGACCTGGAAGACACGAAATGACCCTTTGCCGGAAATCGGGATCAAGGCAGCACGGATTGCTCGACAGGTTAAGAATGACGAGCGCAGGCGGTAGCTCTTGCGTGTCGAAGTCTTCGATAACGTTGGCGGACAAGTCTAGCACCTGCAGCTGTACATAACGCGCGTCACAATGAAGCACGACACAACACCGTTTTTGTAACAGCTGCAAGTTCATCTTTGTAATGTTGTGTGAAAGCTCCAACAGACCCCAATGTTTGATAGCCTGGTACCCGCCCAAGTCTTCTTGTGTCTTTATATCGAATAATACCGAGTGTTCGGAAACTTGACATCAGAGGTGTGGTTTCCTCGTGATGACGACTTCAACAACAACCAGGAGAAGTCGCCCAAATGACCTTATCCAACACTACTATGTTGTCCACGTGCATTTACACTAGATTACTCGATACATTATGGCGAAAGCAGGCGATAGCCGGTGGCGGCCTTCGCAAACGATGCTGCGTGTTGTGGGGAGGACAGTATAGACTATATACAAGAGAGGAACCCAAAAATTCACCTTGCGGAGATGCCGAAGGTTCTCCAGTCGACGAATTCGGTTCGAGCCGAGAGCCAGGAATTCTAGATTTCGGAGTGTATCAAGTTCCTCGATGACGTGGATCCTGTTGTGTTGAAGGTAGAGCTCCCGAAGGTGCGTGAATATGTCTAGATTCTGGATGCTCGCGATCCTTTGCCAATCGAGCCGCAGCACTTCCACCTTGAGCAAGTCTGCAGCCCTGTCAACAAGAGCAGAGCCGCAGCGTCGCTCTAATTTAGGTGAGATTGTTGTTGGAATCGGGCAGCTGCATTGCTGTGCGTGGCCTACACGGCAATAGCACTGCTCCGTATGTACACTACGCTGTACCTTTCTTCAGGACTCCCGGCGACCCCGGTGGATATGCCGGCGGTGCACTCTTCAATCAGTTTCATAGTTAGACTTCGTGGCTCATCGTCCACCATGCTTGAGCATTGAATATGAAGCTCGTTGCGTGCGTGGCTTATGTTCAGGTACTCGTCTCTCTCCCGTCTCTCCTCGGCGCCCTCTCGCTCTTCTCTCTGCCCTATCTCTGTCCGCCTTCCTCTCTCCCTATAACCCCCTGCCCCCACCCCGAAGTATTGTAGTTGTGCAGATATATGGAGGCGTTTTCCGAAACCGTCACACGAGAAAAAATATGGACGACATATCAATGTCTTGCGACGCATACCAACCGCACCCAACGGCGCCGCCACACCATCCACAGGTGTGTGACTAAAAAAACAGCTTCTCTGAGATAAAGACCACTGCCAACCGGGTTGCATACTGTGAGTCACCATATCGCGAATCTGAAACGGGCTCGACGCCAGCATATTGCTGTCAGGATATCTCACGATACCCACGACCCTTCGGGAGAGTTCGGGTTGACCCGACGTTGGTGTACTGTAAGACCTCGGTGATATCGAGATATGTCCACTGTCTGTATGGACAGGATATTTTTAATCATGACCTCCTACAGTCCAAAGGCATATGGAGTGACAATTTGTCCAGCATGATCTCCTCCCCCTCCCCACTCTCTTTCTCTCTCTCTCGCACCCGCGAAATGATATTCAAGACCCCCCCGCCTGCCATGCACCATCTGCAGGTCGAGCCAGAATAAACGGTTCCTGCGGTATGATTTATGCTGTGGTTCTGGCAGCGCTCCTTTGTTCTGCCAGCGCCGAAGAAGATGCGCAGGCGTTTTACCACAACGTGGTCCCTGCGAACACGGCAGACTGCCTAGACAAGGTATGATCAGCGTTGCGTTTGTGTGCGGCATTTCGGATGCTTGCTGACGGTCAAGCAACGTTCTGGGCTCGGTTGTCGGTGTTGCTGGCAGTATTTGTACTGTACAACTGCAGTGCTTGTATAGACTACAACATGTTGTAAAAACATCCCATCTATACCTTTCGGTATCTGGTTGACGCCCTCCCCGAGGTCACATGGTATGTAGTACCGCGCAACTGGGAACTCTTGGGTGAGGATGCCGGGCGTCTGGGTTGCTGGTGATTGTCTTTGCTCGGCACTCACTGCAGACCAAGGTCTTGTCAGTTCACCTGTCCCATTCTGCGGGTCTCCATTGGGGAGCAGCTTTGTTTATCTACACATCAACCTCAAACCTGTGTGGGTGAACACTCAATCATACGTACTGCGGCTATGAACATAGGTCACAGCCCTGCCGTTAGCAACGTACGAGATCAAACATGACAGCGTCAAGGGGCGGCGGCACCTGGGACCAATAGGCCCCGGCCTTGAGAAGGCCATCCCCGAGAGTGTGCAAATTCACGGGAGAAGCATATATCCATCTCCAAACAGGGTGAGTGCTGGACACGGTCATATGGTTGGAGGTGGTGGTCAATCGTACTGTTAGAGCGCTCGTACACCTTGAGGTAAACACTTCTGTGTTACATTCGACGGAACGGCGGCCCCTAATGCATGGCGTCCTACAAGTGGTTGGCGCTACAACCACTCTACTTTGGACCGAACAGCAGTTTTTCCGCCTTGTGCAGAATTCTCGTGAAGTCTACATCAACAGACCGCGTAGTTGTGAATCTCGACGAACTGTGCTGGTCTATACGTGCTGTGACTGTGTCTTCCATCTCTTCGTCTTCTCCAACAATACAAGTAATCAAATTAAGTACTCCGTTCGTGAGCGGGACGATCGTGAACGAACGTGGTACCCTTCAACTCAATGGTTCATGGTCCAATACCTCCGCTTGAGGTGGATTGTAATATCAGTGCTACATCCCCCCCCCCCCCCCCCCCCCCCCCCCCCCCCCCCCCCCCCCCCCCCCCCCCCCCCCCCCCCCCCCCCCCCCCCCCCCCCCCCCCCCCCCC